GGATTGTTAAACTATATATGAATACAAAATAAAGAATCAGATTGTTAGTATAAAGGACTGCAATAATAAATAAAAATATGAAGCAGGTAGCTTATATGATAATTCCAGAGACGTTTGATATATTGGTCTAGCATAATCGGTATAAGAGAAGTATAAAAAAGTTAATTGCGTAAATGATGATGTAATTGAATATAATATAAAAAGACAAAAAAAATCAGTATTTTCGCTCTAAATAATATACAAAATAAAGAAAATTTTATATATATACGTACATGACCTAAATGACCATTATTCGGCATGCAAGACAGAATATGATATTAATGGTCTTTCTAAGTTAGATATACAGAAGTAAGTGCTTATGTTTAATCTCGTAATATTTACTACAAATGAAAATCCAGAAAATGAACTTTAATAATTACTATATTCTGGTTAATAAAGAATTTAAGTATCAATTTTTGTTTGTTGTAATGCTTGAGCATAAACACAATTATTACAAGTTAATCATATTAAGAAGAATTTGAGAATTCTTCAATTATACTAGTTAGATGCAAATTTTCACATATGGTTTTATTATTTATTATTGCTCAATTAAAAACTTTATTAGCATATAAAACAATGAAATAACATATAGGAATAGGTTGCTATAACAGACTTAAGCTATATTAAACTACATAGCTAGTTGCAACAAATAAATCCTTAAACTCTGGAGTCTTTTTGTGAACCTTTTATAGCTATGATGAGCATCGATCGAGGAGTGGTGTAGTGACGAACATATTGACTTTTTTAAAAAGAAATTTAAGTGTAAACAAGGTCCTTGCACTGCAAACGCAGTCGTGGAGCCCAATCACTTAACAACATAAGGTCTTTGCACTGCATAAACAGCTGTGGAGCCTAAAACCTGATAAAAAGGGGTCCTTGCACTGCTTGCAGCCATGGAGCCCGTTAGTAAGTCCTATCACTGTATCTACAATCGCAAGCTTAAGAATTCTGGTATCTTGAAACGAATGAGTTGGAAGGGTATGTAGCCAGCCCTAACTACTGAGCAAGCAATAGCGAACAGAAAGATATCAACATCTACCAGAACAATTAACAATTAAATACATCATCCCCCAAACTGATTATCAACCCTCCCTGCCCTATGACACAATTCACATATGAAAACTCCTTTATCATTCCCTTAGATTACAAACCATAATTACCGCTTAAACTCAATTTTTGAATAACCAAATTCGAATATTCATATGTTAATGTGATGCAACCAAGTTTCAGAATTAAACTTTGGTTTGTAGAACATGGGTAATATGTAGTGTAACTCTATAATAGTCTAAGCGAAGTTTATAGTAAAAAGTATATTTTAATTAGACTTTTATATTATTATACTACATACTTGTAAATAGTAAATAGTCAATTTGTAGTTTAATTCTATGTATAAATATAGACATATAGAACGTTTGTAGGTAGAGTTAGTTTTTGAGTGGTACTTTGTTTTAGTAGATTTTTGTCTTTCAGTTGTATTTGTGTTGTGCTCTTAGAAGTTTGGAACTTGCTAAGTAGCTAAGGAAATAAGGGTTAATAGTATTGAAAGAGTGTCTGGGACACAATGTTGGAATATTTGTTCGTACTTTCTGGTGCCTTTTGTGTTAATAAATCAGTTAGTTCTTTTCTTGTTAATGATTACGGTCCTTTGCTAAATTGGCTACAAAGATCTAAAGTCTCTCTCGTGACTGTAACAGTTAACCAGTATGACTCCTAAAATTCCTGAATCCAAAAAAGATACGTACATATAAAAATAAAAACCACATACACTTGTATATGATCTACTGTAAAGTCATCTGATCTCGCAATAATGATCGCTTCATCACTTCATTGACAAGCTTCTCAATGTTTTATGTTGGCGTTAATAACAATTATATTATACCTTCTAAACAAGTATATATTAAATTACACTTATCTAAATTCTTATCATCATCGTTATTTTATTTTGTAGCATTAGATTGATACCTTCAGGATTCAGAGTTGCAATAACTAGATTTTTATATGTACCAAATCTAGTTTTAAATACAGGTTAATAATTACTTAATATGATTATGACTTGTACATATAATATTAGCTTGTGAGAAAATTTGTTAAATGAATTACTCAAAAAAGTATGTACATAATTTATACTAAATTGTATAATAATGATCTATAGAATTTATATAATTAATGTGCAAACCTTCATGTTAATGTTTAGAATAATTCAATACTATGAAGCGGTCTCATTATGGTGGGAAGCCTTCACATTCCTTTACTCCTCATATTAAAATTATTCATGCTCCAAACTCAAAAACTGTTTATGCAATTTGTAAATGGTGTGAACAAAAACATGGTGAAACATATGCAATAGAAAATACATAATGTGTTAATAAAAAAGACAGACTTCAATCACATTTTCAAAACTGTTTAAATTTTAAAGCAACTGTCAGTAAAGATGAATATGAAAAATTAATGCAAATAACTGAATTATCTAAATCAAAATCTAAAACATCAAGTAGTTCATCTAAATCTAAAAAAATTAATTCGCAAAGTAATATAATTAATAACATTAATTTATAATTTAATAAATTATTCTAATTAATTTTTTTAATCAATAGACATAGTTCAACAACCAATGCAACTGTATCTTGCACAAGAATATAGTTTAGTTGATATATCTCATTTTGAGAAATTGGTTTTAAATGCGACAATTGAAAATGGATGGTCATTTAATTGGGTTGAAAAAGAATCATCAATCACAATGCTTAAATTTAAATATCCAAATCTTGTAATACCAAGTCATACCCTTGGAGGACATATATTAAAAGATACTATACAAGAACTTCATTCTGAATTAATAACAAAGGCAACTCATGATATTGTTGGAGTGTCATTAGCATTCGATAGGTGGAAAAATATTTTAAAACAAAATATTTTTGGAACCATACTTATTACATCTTCTGGTGAAGTTTTAATTTGGAGTGTTCAAGATATTAGTGCTGAACTAGAACGAACAACCAATGTAATTTCTAAAATTGAAGTATTTCTTGAGGATTTAAAAACTCAACAAATTAAAGTTGGTGCTATAATTTCTGATTCAGCATCCACATATGCAGCAGCATGGTATTTATACATTATTTATTTATTACTCATTATTTATTATTTATTGAGGATTTTAAAACAAAGCATTTAGTAATCTATTTTAGTTAAAAAATTTTAAATATTCTTATTTGTATAATTATTTTAATTTTATTAAATTATTTTAGACGCCATATACATAAATCTTATCGCGAAATTGTTTTTTTGTCTTGTTTTGCACACCAACTTAACTTAGTTGTTGGAGAGATCTTTAAAGAAAATGTTCATTTTAATAGTGCTATTAAAAAAGTTATCGAATTAACAAATTATTTCAACAATCCTAATCACTCTTATTTTATTGATAAACTGAGAGATAAGCAAAAGATGATACATAAGTAATATATTGCATTAATTCATCCAGGTAATACTAGATGGAATAGCTTTTATGAAGCATTTAGTTGTCTTTTGTGTTCAAAAGCATCTTTAATTGTGAGCTTATATATATCTAATATTAAATAAAATTATAATCTAATTTATTAATATATTTTTATCTTATAGTCTTTAATTGCAAAATATACATTACCTGAAGATAATAGTTTAGCTTTGCCAAACTATATTTGTGAAACAATCAGTGATAGTAATTGGTGAAACATAATATCTGAATTACATACATTACTTGCGCCTATATGTCTTTGCTTAAATCAGCTTCAAACTAATACAGCTTGTCTTTATGAAGTATTACAATCTTTTAGCTATCT